GGATTATTATTTTTAAATTGGTGAAAGAAAACCATATAGCATATGGTTTCTGTGCAACCGTCCATGGATAGGCGTAGTAAGCACTTTCATTCAAACAGTGGAGCAGTCTACAAGAATGATACCAACCACTTTGAGGCAGCGAGGGGAGGTGCAAAATCCTGCAAGAAAATGAAAACATCTCTATAAAGCTCTTCAAAGGAAAACAAGAGTGGACTTTAATTTCCTGATAGATTGCTGCATCGACTTAACCCTTTATAGGACCAGTTACCATTTTTGATCACTGGCATACCCCCGTCCCTCAGTGAGGTCTAGAAGCACAAGTTCTATATCCAGCCATTCAGCTAAGACACTGCTACATGGTTGTACATCTTATTTTGGCATTTGACCAATTAGATGACCCCTTGAATGATATATTACTTACTGTAAATTAAGTTAAAAAAGGTAAAAAGCTAATTAAAAAGTTAATAAGCCTTGTTAAAAATTATATTTAGGTTTATAAACAAAAAAATCTAAGTGCCAGTATCAGCATTAATGCATCTAAGGTTATGTTGTACCAAAAAAAAAAGTGTTTTTCATGAATTTCTTATAGAAGCACTTTAGTTATTTTTCTTAATACATTCGGTCAAGTTAACGTTTCTTGTTATTATATTGACATTAATTTTTGCCATCAAAATGTCCATATATTTTGAATGTTACAAAGGTAATAAGGTCTTGTCCTGGATTCCAATAACACTATTGGCTTGAAATTTTGATTTTCAAAGTATTTCACCTAGTGCCCTATAAAGGGTTTAAGGTAAGACTGAGGATTATTCCCAGAAATTAAGTGTCCAGATTCATCTAAAATGACTTTATTGATGGCTAGCATTCTTGCACTTATGGTTTCGCAAAATAAAAAAAATGTAATACATCAACTCTTGCAGTGGTGGGGCCTGCAAAACTGTTGAAAGTGGATTGGCTTCTTGTTTATCAATCAAACAAATTGCATACGTGCCACCATATGCTCAGAGCCTATTTATGTAGGCTCCGAGCATACTGTAACTCTTATGCTGTTTGGCCAGCGGTCTGCCACTACGCCAAGGCACAAAGAAGTACTCCCACACTTGTTTGCTGCTAAAGCTTTTTTTTCTTTTAGCCATTTGTTCCCTCTTTTCTTTAAACTGGAGCATCAATGGCCGAAAAGAATAAGTTTTATTAAGCCAAAAGAGAAGTTGTAGTTGAAAAGAAGAGACAAAGTGGGACAGAAAGGAAAATTGAGTATTTAGGAGATTCTTTTCAGAGATGGCCTGCCCTGACGGAGCAAAAGGGTCTAAAAACGGATGATTTGGTCGCAAACTGTCTCCTGGACAGGCTAATTCCGTTTAATTCTGTAGTAGTACTGTATTTTTTTACATTATGAAACATGCATCAGTGAGAAAACACCAACAAATAAAAAAATATAACTTGTACTGCAGGCAGCGACCTCTTCTTCTTAAGGAGATTTCCTGCTGACTAGGTGCATCCTGACACTTTGCCGCCTCTCTAGGGGAAGTACAAAATTATCGGCAGAGGCGTTTCCAGCGTAGAGAAGTTTTGCAAAGGAGGGGGCACTGACACGCACACGATTTTCAAAAATACACCATCAGTCGTTGGTGTATTTTTGCATGGTACTTGAACTCAACCCTCATTAAGAATTTCATTTTCCCAGTGGTCGTGGAAGTTTTTCTATAATATTTTTTTTCTTCCAGTAAACTTTCCATTACATTAAAAACAACATTGTAATTTTAACATTATTGTCTATGTTATGTTTTAATTTTCTTCCTGTTAAAAGGGAGTTTTTCCTCTCCACTGTCGCTACAAGCATGCTTAGTGTGAGGGATTGCATTTGAGTCAATGAGTTGATGCAATCAACTGGTTTTCCTTAGATAGAAAACTTTGAATCAATTTGACTGGATGATCTGGTTAAACTGTAACGTGCCTTGATATGACTTGTGTTGTGAATTGGCGCTATAGAAATAAACTGAATTGAATTGAAATGTGGCCTGAATCTGAATTCCCCTTCTTTATTTCAAGTGAAATCAATTTTGCCATTAAGTGGTAATCTAACTTACTGAGATTTGCCAGTGTGCCGCAACTTCAAAAACATGAAAGGAATTATGCAATTTCCACATGAACAACAAGTTTATTCCCTGCTGCAGAGAGCTGAAGGTGCTTGTGTGCCCTGAGGCCAGACGGTAATCAGGACACCGTGCATCTTAAAGCGCCTCTCAATGCATTGCAACTCCCCTGATTTATTACCATTTCAGAATGAGGCCAGGCTGATTCAGCCTCCGAGTGGAATAAGGAGAATTACTTATTGTTTTTCTTTTTTTCAAGGTTTTCTTTTAAAAACAAGAAGAGTTACAGCAGTCGAGGCGGAAAGAGGGGCTGCATCGGCTCTCCGCCAAAAAAAAATGCAGTTCGTTGCATCGTCAGCAATCCACTTGGCCTCTACTTAAACAGAGCAAGATGAGTGTTTACTTTTGCTTGTTTGTTTGACCAAATAATCACACCACTCTCTCCACACACACACACACACTGAGAAACACCATTACCATAAATGTGGTTTTATTATTAATAACGGTATCTCTTTTAATGAACATTGCAGATACATAATAGAAAATAAATCAGAAAAACAGAGACGTCGTCTCAAAAGTCATGAAAGTGCCTGGAATAAACTCTGTGCTATATATTCTCATTAATATTACCCATCGTCATGACCTTTCCAATCAAAGCCTCATCATCAGAAATGTTCGATTTAATCACAAACCTAAAGCGTTATTGTCGCTGTATTCACAGAGTTTCTCAAAGCTCGAGCTTTCACAGAAGACGTTGGAGTTGAACTCCAGTGAGGATTAATGGTTACGCTCCGAGAAGCCCTGTGAATGATGACCTTTCCATGAATATGGCTCGATTGTCTTCATTTTTATATTGTTTAGGTTTTATTTACACATTTGCCATATCTGAGCTCTGTTTCAATACAGCGCTCGTGAAAAACACCTTGGTTCTTTACCTTGGAGGAAACAGTGTAAAATAAAGGCTCTGATTAAAACAATCTTAAATGCAAATGTGCCATTTTACACTTAAATAAATTATAAAGACAAAAAAAAAAAAAAAAAAAGCAATCCAGGCCTTTCCTCAAATCGTACAGAGAAAGATTAAAAAGCAAAACATTAGAGGAGGGGAAAGGAACATTTTTCATTTTACAAATTCATCACTTTGCATATTTTATGGCACAAAATGAATCGTCTTGAGATGTTGAAGTTATTTCCCATAAAAACTCAAAAGGTATGTGGCACAGGTGGATTGAGAAAACAGGCCATCGTCATGGATGGGAGGTGAGGTGAGATCGGATGGAGTGGTACCGATCAGGATGGGAGGTTACTGACTTTTTGAAAATGAGAACTGTTTCCATTAGCCTGCTTTGGTCTAAAGTAGCAATAAACCACAGCTTGACTAGCATCATCCATGAACTATACCGCATTTAGAATTCTAAAAGGCTACTGCTTTTAAAGGTAATTCCTTCTACATTTATTAACCGCCTATTAAAATAATATATAACTCCATTTTAAAGGTTAATTATATGTTAATATTAAGTGATATACGTTTTATGAGATCAGCCTTGAAAAGGTTTACAGTGCCTCGAAAAACTGTTCACATCTCTAAATCTTTTCCACACTTTGTCAAGGTTTCTTCTCCCGCACCCTTAAATAGGAAATTCAGACCAACCTGTTCCTTTCTAAAGTCACTTTATTCATCAACAAAGACTAAAAAAATGTGAAGATGAGAACATTCATCTTGGGAACTTGTAGCTCTGGAGGAGCACCAGGGATCCACACTTAGGTGGAATTAATTTGTGAACCGGAACAATTAAAATCAACAAATATGGACTTTATGTAGAAGCAGCTTTGCTGAAAACTGGCCACCCCATATTTGTAAGAAAAAGTTCTTGTGCAAATGGAGAAAAACTTGCAAGATGCATAACCCACTGACATACATGGCACGGGCAGCAACATGCTGTGGGGATGTTCTCTTGCAGGACCATGGAAGCTGCTTAAAATTGGTTAGAAATGGCTAAATTAAAGTAAAACTACAACATATCCCTGAATAAAGCTTGCACATATTGAAACAGGTAGGGGGGAGCATCATGCCGGGACTGCATTTGCCCAGCAAGGACACAGAGGGAAAGTAGAAGGTAGGCTGTGTGGAAAAAAACTAAATACACATGTTCACACCATTTCCACTGTGAACATGGGCCGTTTCTAGATTCACAAGAACACGAGTACGGATTTGTGTCCTCGCCAAGTAGGTTCTTGAGAAGAACATAGGAACGTAAGGACTTGGGGAGAACGGGAGCACAAATATGGGTCAATATAAAAAGGACGCTCCGCTTGTCTGGAGCTGCATTTCATCTCCTGCTATTTATAGTCTCTAGATAATAAATTCTTACTTTTTTTTCTTTTAATGGGGAATAATAATTAACAAAGTCAGATAAATATAAATTAAATAAAATTTTGCCGAATAAAACAAAGAAATCGCCATCAGAACGACAAACGGCTATGCAGAGAGAGGGCTAAGGTTCGCCCTGGCTGTTGTAAGCCTGGTTACGGCGGTCCTCTCAACAGCTGGATTTTTTTTTAAATCAAGCAATAAATAAGTAAATGGATCCATATAGTGATGCTTAAAAGTATAATGTTCTCTCCTCAAACAGAAAAGAGAATTTTTAATTTAATACTCTGAGCTCTATTAACGCTCCACTGGAAGCTGCTGCTGCGGTGCATGCTGGGACAGCTGTCAATCTCAAGAACGGACGAGTCTGCTCTGATGCATACTCGTTAAATAGGGAGGGGCCAGAACAACATCCGGGGATTTTGTCCGTTCTCGGTCTGGTGTTCATGTGAATTCGAACATTACTAGGGCTGATGATGACATTTCACAAGCACATGAGAACGCACAAGTACACATATGGAGAAATGGCCATAATGTTGGCAGCATCATGCTGTGGGGAGAATTTTCCTCATCAAACATAAAAACTGGTTCCAGACATTGCAGATCTGAACAATCAGCCATACTTTTCTTTCTTCCGCTTCTCTATTTTGAACTACTTTTGTGTTACCAAAACAAATTTCAATCCGCGTGAACTTTCTCTTTTTTTTTCAAGGCACTGTAGACATTTTCCGACTCAATATGAAAAGGAATCTCGTCGTTTAGCAAAGACCGGATGCTGCCTTAAAGTGTTCTGCAAGGTAACGTGATGGTAAACAAAAAACAGGGCTGTCATTTAGGAGGAAATGGATAACGGATAATGATTTAGCCCTGGACAGCCTTGTTTGGTCCTGTAGTGGAAACTGGGTAGAGTGACGATGGCTTTCTCCTTCATCCGCACTGACATCATCGATAGCTCCATCCCTGTTAAACTGGCGGCGAGCTGCTGCAATGACAATGAAATCGGCAATCGTGATAGAAAAAGTCTGCTGAGCTGAATCAAAATGTCAAAACTCCTCCTTTAGACGCTCTTCTATCTCACAGTATAAGACATCAATGAGTCGTCCTTTGATTTTTTTTCCCCGAGCTAAACAGTTCCCCATAAAACAGTTTTTTAATATATCTGTTTTTCCAATCACTTCCATCAGAAATGTCATACATAGAACTTCTATTAGCAAGTATCCCTCAGTTACAAAAATATACTTTTCTTTTTTCATAAAATAATACACATCATTACTTTTCAGTGATATAATCTTCTGTTAAGGTAAATAGCAAGGTTGCTCTTTAAGAGGAAATGTCGCAGTGAGAGAGAGAGATGTGAAGCCTAGCACCATAGTCTTCTTCCAATAACGTTCAGACATGATCGGAGTTGAAAACCCATCGTTATCCTGTCATCTGGACTCCAAATTTTGCATATTCTGGTTGAGCCCAAACTCTCATCCCTCTCCAGAGGACCGTAACTCCAAACTATCCCCCCTCCCAAGAAACAAAAACCCACCAAAAGCATTAGAAACTACACCAGTCAACAAATTAAGATAAAGGTAACAACAGTTCTACCAACACGTCATACAGGCCATTGCTTCACTTTAGTACAAACTGAAACAAAACAAGGAAAATAAAGATTCCCAACCGATGAGAAAACATAATGAAACAAGTCCCAAACACTGTTGCTACAAAGAATTAGAAAAGAAACGTATGTACAGGACCCTGTTTTCCTCGACTATCGCGTTAATTTATGACAGGTGTTGGCTTGTGTTACGTGTTTTTACAGGCATACAAAAAAAAAAAAAAAAGTTCTCCTCGGTTCCTTTTTTTAAAATCTTTTGTTGCTGATCAGTTTTAATAAAAGCTCTTATTAGACTAAAACAAAACGAGAAATAGTCGCCGTCACCATTTTCAATTTCAGTTTTGTCCAGTGTGTTTAATGCCCCCTCCCCCACTTGTTGTTTTCCGGTGCAAATAGAACAGCAGCGAGTTTCCTTAGGGCCATTCGGCTCCGTCTGGTTCTGGAGGATTCAGGGTCTGACTGCCGGCGGATCTGTCACCAGATGACGCTCGATATACTGGTCTCTCTAGGAAGCAGCGGCAGCATGGCGTTGTTGGCGTGGGCCTCCTCCATGCTCTGCTGGCGCGGCGACTTGGACTGCGGCCGCTGTCCGTTGATGAGCGTCATGGGGATGTTGCAGTAGGTGTGCTGGTTGCCTAGCGAGGAGAGTGGCGGGAGCGTGCCGCCGGGTGGCAGGTCGTAGTTGTAGCTACGGTAATAGTGTTTCTGCCTCATCTGGGTGTGGCATGAGTTGTGAAAGGTCGAACGAATGTCTGGGTGTGCCGTCGCCATGGCGGTGGAGGTGGCCGCTGCCATGGAGATGGCTGAAACAGTCTGGAGTTCTCCGAAAGCGCCCTGCTCGCTCACGTCCAGCACCTGCTCGTGGGAGATGCTTAGGGGCTCCATGCGTTTGAAGGGCATCTCATAGAGCAGCTGCTTCCAGAATTTGGAATTGAGCTTGTTGCTGGAAGGGCCGCGCCACTTGATGACCGTCAGCATTTTGATGGTATGTTTCAGGGCCTCCACTTCCTGGTAGTTCATGATGCCGCGTAGCTCGGCGCACTCGATCAGGATGACTTTGATCTCGCCCGTCACCAGCATGTTGCGCAGCCGCGTTTCCAGCTCAAAGATGCTCCACCCCCTCCGCACCACGTAGCTGGGTGTCATGACGATGATGAGGCGCTTGCTCTGATCCACACAGCGTGCAACGTCCTCGATGTAGGCTGGATCCCACCGGACAGAGAGAAACATGCATCAGTTTGACAAAAAAAAAACTTTCATTTCATAATTTCTCCTCATTTTTATGAAGCTAAACAAACTTAACTTAAAATTAGTTAATTACAGTAAACAGTAACAGTAAAACACAGGCTACAAGAACTCTCTTTGGCCTCATAGCAACTCCTGATCATACAGGTATTTTCTTATTAACTATACCTTATCAGAAAATAAATCGGGTTAAAATTAGATTTAAATTGTTTACGCAATTGGAGAGTAATCGGTGTCTTTTTAATATAACATTGAAAAAAAAACAAGGACAGACACAATGCACTTTTTACTTCCCCGTAAAAAAAAAAAAAGACAGCCTTGAAAAAGGTTATGTTATTACAGTGAAGAATTTAGACCCAATCTCTAATTTCAGTTCATTTATTTTGTGGTGAAAATGTCCAAAAGCAAAACAATTGGTTGCTTTGGTCAGATGAATAAAAAAAAAAGCTTTTTTTGCAACAAATATTTTCATTGGGTTTTGATTTAGAGAACCATAGAAAAGAGGTTCATGCCCAGTCTAAGTACGGTGTAGGCTCTGCAATGCTGTGGGCCCGTTTCTCCATCGAAGCCAATGGGAATCTTGTCAAATTACATATTTTTCTGAAAAAATAAAATAAAATAAACTGAAAGCAGTTTGTCAACTGGGTATTTTAGCAATCTTGGATGCAGTTTCCATGGAAACAAATAATATGATTGAAGGCTTTTTCAGACCAAAGATTAAGACTGAAGATTCTAACCTGATTCGGCTCAATTAAAAAATAAATTTCCTTCTAAAAGCTGAGGATGAGCTGACAAGTACGAGCTCTTTTACGAAACAGGTAGTTTCTTCTTCTACTGCAAAAGTGCTTCCGGAAAATTAGACAATTGCACTGCGTTAAAATGATTTAATCTAATTAAATGCTTGGTACACACATCATGATCAGATAATTTCATCTAGTATCCATATAAATGGAGATTTGGCATTCCTGTGGAATGTTTTTGTGCATTTAAACATACAGTAGCCACTGTGCGGTTGGCTCAAGCGGAGAGAGCACAATCTGATAAAAACGAAAGACACAGAATTGGTGTCATTATGAAATTATTTCTCAACATGATAATTCTTCCAACTAAATAAAGAAATACATTGTTTATGAGATTAAGTTGCAGATTAAATAGCGTTATGGGGTTGCTTAGGCTTTTTTTAAAGTTATTTCCAAGGGTTCCAAAAAGTTGGTCTGCATCTACTCTCTGCAAAAAGAGTCAGCAATCAAAACTGTGGATCATTGAATTAATCTATGACGAGTACTTGAGTACATTGAGTGTCTACATCAGCTACTGTCGTACTAAAATCGGTATGCATGCCTCATCTTAAAGCAAAGTGATAGTTTTTGTTTTTGATCAGAACATCTATGAGGGCCTGCCTTGGTTATATTTAAGTATTTGAGTCCGCAGCAGGTGGTCTGGATGAACAGGGGGCTCTCCCGTCCATAGTAATATATCAGTATGTCTACTGGTCTCTAAGCCAATAATGCCACATTCCCTCCCTGGTCTGCTCTGCATGTGTCAGAGAATGAACTGCTTCTTTTCTGTCATGCTGTGCCTTAGGCTGCCCGACGAGAGCAGCTTGATTAGAGTAAACTTGGGTTTGAAGTTGCCCTTTTACTTCAACATGACAAGCCAGTCTCTTTGCTGTTTTGGAATTGGTCATCATGCGGTAATTCACCTAAACCCTGCGGCTAAATGTCCACTTCAAGGTCTGAACCAGTTTACTTTGGGTGGTTTCTTTAAACGTTTGCAGGATCTAAAGCGTTTATAAATAATTCAATAAAGACACTCCTTATTGAGCTAAAAAGGAGTGTCTTTATTGAATTATTTTTAACTGACAGCACATTTTGCATTTACAAATAGAAATATTTTCACTTTTTCTTGTATTAAATATATGGCATAATAGACTCCAATCCCAATTGACTTCTGTATGTGTTACATTTAAATTTGCCAAACTATAATGGCAGTGTGCAGCAGAGATCGAGACAAAGTTATGCTGTACATGCAGCTTGAGGCGCTTTCCTAAGGCAAGAGAACTCTTTCTATACTTCCACCATCTAATTACTTGATTCAGGTGTGTTGAACCAAAGGCACATCTAAAAGTTGCAGGATACCGACGCTAAGGAACTAGAATTGCCTTCCCTTCCTATATCCTGTCCCAGGAATGAAGGTTCAGGCTCCATATTTTCCCCTGTACCTTTAATAATACAGGTTTTATGTATTTTATGAAAACTTTAATGAAGCGGCCGAACCATTTGGTTGGAATAGGAGGTTTGGTTAATTCAAAAAAACAATAGGAAAATATGTTGAGGCAACATAAGTATCAATCCTATATGAAAAATTTCTTGGCTAATTGTTTTTAGCCATTAGTTGGAAGGGCTGGTTCTGGTCGCTGCTCTAACCTGGGCCCGCACAACTGACCTGTTTCTTCCCTCCTGTCGGTATTCTATTAGAACAACATAAGCGGTCAGATTGCCATACATTGTTCAATACACAAGCGTGCACATGCGTAATAGAGAACTATTCCCACATTTCATTTTAGCAACAGTGTATTGACCAGCAAAACCCCGTCAACTTTGTTTATACTGTTATTACTTGGATGCAGAAACGGCCAGACAAGATTGACATTTCTGGGATGTTGAAAGAAGAAGCATCTAGAGCAGGGGTGGGCAATTCCAGTTCCTGGGGGCCGGTATCCTGCAACTTTTAGAAATGGTTCGGTTACCTCCTTAGTATGCATTCACTTCCTCCAGAGTCCTCTCAATCATCTACTTATTTGATTCAGGTGTGCTGAACTAAAGACACATCTAAAAGTTGCAGGATAGCGGCCCTCAGGAACTGGAATTGCCCACCGCTGATCTAGAGCTAAAACCAAATAAGTTAATAATAATTTAAATTAAGTTACTTTTGTAGACATAAGTAAAAAATGTATGTGCAGGAATGGAAATTTGGTTAGAAATTGTTTTTTTGTTTAAAATCATAGGAAACTTTGGCTGTGACTCAGAATTCATTTATATTGGATAAAAACCTAAACCTGACGGCGTATTCTGTTCTGACAGAACAAGGAGCAGGTGAGTTAAGGACATGCAACTAGTTTGCAACTATATTAGCAATTCTACAGACATCTCTAGCCAATTACTTTGAAAATAGCAACTAACGACAAATCTATCTACTTTTTCGGTCTGTCTGTGTTGAAAGTAGCGAGTGTTCTGATTTTCACAGTCTTAAGTTAGCAGTGAGGGCTGCTGCGAGTCCCCCCCACTTCTCTAAAGCATCAACAGGAAGTCAGACTCAGCTGCAAATGTAATCCCACCTGGATAAAACATCATTTAGTAACTTCAAGACCACCAGTAGCAACTTTTCTTGCCAGAATTGGCCAGAGTGATGGCTGGGAATTATTATTATTATTTTTTGTGAGATGGTTTTAGTGAAAAACAGAAAAATTTTAGTTATTGTAGAAAGAAAGTAAAAACATACGTATTTAATTGACTTAAACTTAGGCTAATGACTTCACATAGATTTGAAGCTACAAAACAAGACATGATCCAACATCAGCACCATTAGCAGCTAAGGTTTTAATTTTTCACAGTGGAGTTTCAGGAAAATAAAGACACAAGAAAATACACAGCCAGGAAAAAAGGTAGTATGCAAAGAGCGCCAAGAAGGAAATGACAAGGAGAACCTAAGTGATTATGAAAGGACACAAGGAAGGAAATACAAAAGGAGAAGGATGAAAGAGAAAAGGTTGCTGGAGAGTAAGGAAAGATGGTCTGAAAAAAAGAAAAGGTCCCAAAGATGTAAAGATGAGATGCAAATAATGCATTATGACACCACCGAAAAGATGAACCATCATGGGTTATATAGTGCCATAGAAATTTAAACAATTGAATTAGATGACTGGCATTTCGTCACTAAAATGTGTCAAAACGATAGAGAACTGGTAACCACATGGGAAGCGGTACAGTAGGTTACATGAGTAATAATTGCGACACATCAATAATAAAAATAAGTGGAAACGGGATAAAGGAACCAAACCAAAAGTTCAAAAATTCTGCATACACTCAAAGTATTGTGAACTTTATAAGGTTCACAA